GGACAATCATATTTTACTCGGGATGATTTCAGAGGAAAGCAATAAAATGAGATGACATTCTCCCGTCGCTTACTGCAGGAAGTGCCAGTTAGGGCAATTGATTGTAACAACAAAGTAATTGGTTAGTCATTAACGGCTAATTACCCATCGGATACACAGTAGAGGTCTGTAATTAACACAAACCGGCTGATGAGGGTGGAATTGCTAAAAGGGAAGGACTGCATTGCAACCTATAACGACTTGTGTGTCATCTTCCTCTAAACGATTAGTCGTTGTCAATAGCAACGCATCAAAAACACACTTCGTTTATAAACTGTACTGAAACAGTTGAAATTTATTAATTAACATTTTTGTAGGAAATAGTTATTTTTGTGTAACAAGTGTGCGAAGTGACCCTTTGCTGCACATGAGGAAAATGTTTACGCGCAGATCGCAAGGTGAGTGTGGAAAGTTTTTCGAGTGCAGCAAAGGCAGTTTGCACTCGTGTTACACATTATATATTTCCTACAGTTACTATAAGGCAAATAAATAATTAGTTAAAACACTATAACCACGTTTTCAGGGTAGGTTAAATCCAAGCGTTGAACGAGATGGGAAAGACTGTACCAGCTAATCGTAGTTTTTATCTTCAAGTGTTGCCAACTTATTTTCAAGCGTACACGTATTACGTGCCTAGTAAAAGCACACTGTTTTGTGTTGTTTGGTTGGAATACTGGAGTGCGGCAAAAGAAAGTAAAAACAGTAATTAGCTACTTGGCGTGCTATAATCAATGCAAGAAACCCCACTTTGTCAGGTAACTGAAGATAAATATATGTATGTCGATTTGAAATAAGACACTATTATTACTTTATCAAAAATATGGCGTGCTTTGGTATATTACAATGGGATAAGCACATTAAGTTTGATGGTTTTTAAAATTAATATATAGAGCTGCAAACTCGAACTAAAACGGACAACCGAGTAAAAAATTACAGCTGTTCAAAGATTAATTGAATTTGCATATCCACGCTACTGTCTCAGGGGGCGTCTACTAGAAGCTGAAATAAAATCATAACATAAGTTTAGGTAGATATACACATCAAATTAAAGGTCTTTATAGGTAGAATAACATGCCGTAAATTTGAGCCCAAAACTAAAAACAAAAATGGCAGCCGTTCAAATATTCTATTTTCAGATTTAAGAAATCCCCCCGGTTATTTTACAAATGTTACGTAGCTATTGTAATAATCTAATTGAATCTACTAGTTTATTTAAATGCATTTATTAAAGTTTGAAGCAGAGGATATTTGGTAAATAAAATGGTAGTGTTGATGGACACTCACGTTTAAAAGACCACGTACTCCCTAGCTGGTTCTAAACAGAATGACTTGAGGGTCCTTAATCTCCTTGACCTTCCACAATTTTGGTATAAATAAACCCAATGCCACCTAAGTTTGTGTTCAATATGTATTAGATAGGTTTAAAATTTTGAAAAAAAATATTTGTTTTACATATGTGCATATAAACTTATACAGTGGTGTTTCTTGTTTTGCTAAACTGTTACTTATCATAAATTTTAATAATTTTAAAATAACTATTTCTTGAATTGCGTAGCTAAATTTATTTATAAACATTTAAGATTGTAATGATCATTACCTGTATCAATTTTATAATGGTATTGCCATTGGAAGTTATAGTTATAGTTCGAGTTGGACAGTTCTCTGAAATACCAAGAGTTGTTTTTAAAATCCCTTATTTTGGTATAAAATTATAGTTGCTAACATAATTCGATTAATATAGATACTGTATATATTACTTACGCTTCTGAAACGGATTTCATCCCGAACAATCAAGTGAGTTACTCAAAAAGTTACACGAAATGCTCTGAAATAAAATCTCAACGTCTTGACATCACTACGTATTAAACATTGAAAGTAAATTAATATTTTAACTAAAAAACTAACGGACTTATGATATTGCAAGACTTGTGGAAAAATCTACAATCTACCTTTCTTTCTACACTAACGTACTTAAATTATCAACTGGAACAATTAACTAATCAAGTTATCGAAGGCTACAAGTATCTAGTAAAAGTAAATTTTGTTAGTAACCTAACTCTGTTTCTTGTAGATGTTATATTTACCCTTTGTTCTTTACAATATTATATTCTAGTTAAAGTGCAAGAGTTATTAAGGTTACATTGTAATAGATAATCATTGTTAATTACCAAGGGTTTTATACAAATACATAAAGACACAACGAAAATGTTTTGATAATCATTTATTAGCATACGTAACTAAATTTTAATAATAAAACCCTTAGCAAGAGTTATAAGTAGAGTGATTCATTAATGATGATAATATAATAAGGATGTTTTAAATACGCAACATATATTATATTAATATTATACCATGGTAATAAATAATTTTTTAATGGAAATTTCATAAACATTATGGCGTTTTTTGACAATTTTCGATATAATATTATAAAATCAAACCTCAGGTTGGCTTGTAATCAACTTATAATTGACGTAGAGGTAGATAATATGACAGAAAATTAGACCATGCTTAACTATTCCATTGAATAAATTAGTAGATATTATGTCATACATGTTTAATCATCGTACAATTATTGCAAATTTGACAAATTATACCAGCAAACAAATTGATCAGTGGACATAATTATGTATTCCCTCACACCACAGCTAAGAAAAATACGGACATAAGCTATATGGGTCAGAATCTATTAAAATACATGTCTTAGGCCTACTAGTTTATTATTTTTAAATGTTCGTAGATAGAACCATAGATAAAAGGAGTAGACCGAAAGAGTTTTCAAAGTTTTGTTTACTCCTTTAATCTATGATAGAATCTTTCCTCGAAAAGTTGAAAGCTCCTCGTGAGGAACGGAAATTGGGGTAGACACTCACTTCTGTACCACCGTCCTACCTCTTAGATAATGTAACTTGTATGTACAAATTGAGCATTAGAGTGGAGTGAATTGTCAGATTCTAGTATGTAATAATGTACATTAAAGTTGATTGGTTAATAGTGTAAAACATTATTAGAATCTTCTAGTTTTGGAATTTATCCTCAAAATATTTTTTTATGTAGACTCAAGAATGAAAGTATTTATCGAGTATAGTGCTCTTTATACCAAGGGTGGAATTATTTTAGTTTTTTTAGCCTGACAGATAATTACTCAATTAAGCATCTGATAATGTACTTGATATGCAGATTAATTACAAAGGTAGAATCGTTTTAAACACGAACAGTAGCTAATGTATACTACGTATTCTAATTAATAAACATTTTATTGCGGAATTTCAACTTTTAATCGAGGGACATTCAAGGATGAAATACTATTGGAAGCACAAAATGTTATTGACATTGTGTAATACCAAGAAAACGTTAGATAAAATGGTTCTAATTTATCGTAATTGTTCTATTGTTAAACACTGTTCTCATATTTTAGTTTAAAATTGCCTAAAACTGTTTTAATTGTCCATCGAAAAAGTTCACTGTTTTATAAAACCCCCTAAAAAAACATAATATAATCTCATAAATAATATATTTTCTACAGAAAAAAATGAACGAATACAGACGGTTTTGCCTAAACTCGGTTGAGTTGTTAGCGTTTGGGAGTTGACAGGCAACAAACATACAGTACAACGTCCGTACAGGGGAGTGTGTGTATTTCACCGTTAGGGGGGTTGGGGGGGGGGACATGAAGTATGACCTACCACAATATTTATATACGACCCGCGGCTCTCTAGCAAATAGAATAATAGAGGCGCTACAATGACGTGTTTGCAAGGAATTCACCTGATTCAGTTGTCTCAGCTATGTTATGAAATGATCACTAATCTTAGTTTTCAATTTTGAAATCATGGAATTGTATTGGCAGGAATTTTCTGAGTAAATCGGTTAATTTATGACATCTGGGGCTTCGAAATTGTTAATTAATTATTATGTTCGTTTTGTATATTGGATGCATTGAATTTATTGGTAGGTGATTAGATATGAATTATGTGATCTCTATCATCCCTATTTACCACTTCATGTAGGTATTGTTAAAAATCTGATAAACGATAATAAAGATTTATTAGTTTATAACTTATTTTTTATACATATATGTTTTTTAAACTCGTTTGTCATACCCCTCTGAGAGAGTACATTTCCCTCCCATGATAGATGAGTAGGCTAATACTATTTATACTATCATTATCTATATTAATATTTTATGTTAAATAGCCCCCATCTATAGTTTTTTCGTAAAATATTCATGCATCCGAACCTTTGGTAAATTATACGTATTTAATTAGTGTTATGCAGTAGGCAGTAAATTTTAAGTTTATTAAAATGTTATAGCACTTAAAACTTAGTAGTCACAAAACTATCTAGTGAGTAATAGCTAACACATTGATGAAATAGATTAAAAGTAATTAAAAAATAGAATAAGAAATAGAATGAAATAGATTTTGATGGGGTTTTCTTTGTATAAATTGCAAGATTACACAATAAAAGAAACAACTGTATTAGAATCTAGATCACCTAAGGTTGAATTAAGTCTTACAATATGAAAGGAATTGTTATTTGTCAATCAAGAGATGATAATATCATTATTGTAACGTGACTTTTCATAGACAATATTTTGGAATAGATAACTTATTTGACCAACCGTTCAAATCACATCCTTGACGCAACTCAAGCGGGAAAATATGTGATATTTATGATCACATACTAAAATAATGCAGACCCAGTCAGTACATCACATGCTACTATACTCCCTGTCATAAAAACTATCATAAATTGTAGCTTGCGCAGATTGTATATACTTGATTGACAACTGTACAAAACAATTATATCTACCTAATTCACCCTTAGCGCAAATATATGTATATATCATCCAGCAACTTTAGGCTTCCCAAAAAGTGGTAATAGATTTTTTTATTACTTACATAACACTATGATATACATAAAATAAATCTTAATTACTATTGAAAAACATGATTATTTACCTGTATAAAGTAGTGTGATCCGTATCGGCGACTTATCAATACGACGCACTACACATCCACACAAGTCGGGGAGCGCACGACAACTAACCAATCCACCGCTCCCGCTCGACTGATGTAGTCATAGAGGGAAGCGCCCCTAGTACCTAAACCGGCCACCTGGAGCGCTAGCTGCTGATAACACTATGTGCAAAAGTGGGATATGTGTTTGAAAAATAAATGTTTGAAGAGTTGTCATGACTTTATTTATGTACTCAACCAGTTATACCTACGATCATTATTTCGTGAAACTTGCAGTTTGTTGAAATCCTAAAATAAGTAAATTTGAAATTTTCTTTTTAGTTGGTTTTGAATTTCAATTTATAATTTATGAAATACACAATAACATATACAATTGAATTTTAGGAATAAGTAAAATTGATAAATATAAATTTAGACGTAGGTTTAAATGTGAAACTGTATTGTTTGATACTCATATATACTATTATGGACTGTCCTTAAATAAATAAACTTTGTGTACAATAATACGTCAAACACTCTACGTCAGGCCATGTAATTAACCACTTCTTTTTGCACTGTAGATATATTAGCGCATTATTTTTTGTGTTTGTTTAAGTGGTAATTTGACGCTATACAACATTTGCGTATTCATAACAATCAATTTCTCTTTATCACTCAACATTATGCATATGTTTTAAATACATTTTCTTACACTGTAGTATTATACAAATAATCTATATTATGTGTAATGTACTTAAAACACAATACTTGCCCCTCCAATGATACAAAATCTATTTTGAATTCACTCACAAATGCGTACTTTACAATGTTTTATCACAGTTCAATAAATCTCAAGCGTTTCCGTGAGATTGATTTTATTCCAAGTGAAAAGGAGAAAAGTCTCCGGATTTAATAGAGTTTACGAAATCACTTTCAGAAGAAATGAATTGAAATCGAGATCGTTTCGGAGGAAAACTTGGAATATCACCGTGTCTAACGACTGTCAGCTGATCCCGTCAGATATTCACATTTCACCCTCTCAATCATTCGTCATCTCGATCACTCGACATCTCGATCAATCGACATCTCGATCACTCGACAACTCGATCCCTAAACGAATACTTCTCTCAGCAATTTATCCAAAGATAACAGAACGCCTCGGCTCTTATCGCAGACACAATCAGTTACTGCTAAAGCACATCGTTTGTTTCTTTCTCACTTTGATCAAAATCAATGTTCCGATCCATCGTAGCCTTTTTGCGATTCCATTTTGTTTTTCTTTGTCAAGTGATTCTTTACCCTCCAGTTAAGGCTGACAACTCTTTTCGAAGTGTTTTTCCTTGTGTAATGAATTTTCTTCCAATTTCTTTTGTTAAAATTTGTTGATTGGGTTTATAATTGAATGCAGAATATTGTTTGGAATTAATGACATAATAACTGTGTTAATACCAATATATATATATATTTTTTTTGTATCAAGGAAAACCCCTGAAAGTGTTTACTACTGTGATATGTGATTTGATGAAAGCAATACAATCTACTGATCACTATACTCTAACACATTGATATTAATCAACTACTTTAAGCGAATTATTACTGAATAAAAAAATAGCTCGAATATGACCGTATGCAAAACTTTTTTGGCTAGTTTTTCATCAGTTTTCAACTGAACTAAATTTAATTGCTGAAGTTAAAGGCTTAAAAATGCATCAACTAACTTTTTCCTCGTTTTATTTCTAGTGACGAAAACAATAAAGCCCAGCAAGCATTGGAGCTAGTCGTAATCCTATTTTGTTTCCATTGTCCACAGTAATCCCCTTTTCAAACTCTATTCTTGTTTAGGTAGGTTGAAAATAAAGTTATTCTTTGGAAATATATCCTAGTCTTTATTTTAAAATTCAGTCCAAAATTACAATGAAGGGTGCAAAACGTTGATTATGAAATTCGAATTAACCTACTTGATGACAGGTAAATTGGAAAACTATTATTTTAACAAATAATTCTTGTTGGAAAACGAGTGCTAAGGCAAATTTTCTTGATTTCAAGAAGTCGTTCTAATGCAGTATTGGGTGTGTCAGTCTCTTCATTTTTACATTCATTACCAGCAAGCTTAAGTTGAAATTATTTGTCTTTTAGGATCACTTTGACCAACAAATTCAATAACTTTTACCAATTATTAATATTTTTTGATAAATTCTTATGTAAAAAATCTAAAATGACATTTTAGCTGTTGAATATAATGATACGAGTAGCTGTGAGGGAGGTCAATCATTTTATCATGTTGTAACTTGCTCGACAGACCGGTCAAAGTCTGCATGGTGCAACATTATGATTGCGTCACAGACCGGTACAGTTCAGTGTTGACAGTATAGTTCTAGACCCCAGTGTCGGCTGCCCTCTGGTGGGGGTTGATAGGCTGGGGATGGGGCTTGACAAAGGGCCGCATGCCATGCAGCTGTGGGTCTTTACATCTGCCCGAAATTCCCCTCCCGTGAGCACGTGCGGTCATATTGCAAAACGTGCCCCTGCTCTACACCACGACTCCGGCCAACTTCCTTCCCGATCAAAGCCCTAATACGAGGAAAAAAACCCCTCGAAATGTTGCGGGTAGAAATTTTGCGTGAATGTCCAAAATCAAAGCGCGGTCTTTTGTGATCGTGCAAACGCGTGGCATCCGCTGTTATTGGTTATCAAAAGCCATATGCCCAAAGAGGGTGGTTGTGACAGCTAATCTCGTGTGGGAAAGTGAATTTTGCTGGATTTTGCGGCAATGTTTTGTTAACAAACTGTTTTCGTCTACAGTCTCCTATATTGTAATGCATGAATTTCATTAATGTATACGTTTGTTTCTATACATTATACTCATGTAAAGTATGGAATTTTAATACAAAAACAATTGATGTTTTGGTTTTTACAACTAGTTTAGTCCTTTACGCCACGAACACGTCTAAACTGCTATAGTTGATACACAAAAACTCAGCAAATGTATAGAAGAGTTAATAGATATTTTATCGTGACGCTCTTGTCAAAGGCTATATTTTGAATTTAACGATGGAATGTGTAGGCTGATATTACATTGGCATTCCCAAATTGCACAGCTTTTCGCAGCACGGTCCCATCAAATACAACTGATACAAAATCATTAAAAATAGCGTACAGTATTATAATTTTGTTACCTGACCAGTCAGATAGATTGACCTTTTAAGATCTGCGTCTCGACTCGATTACTACTTGGGTCTATAGTGAGTTTTGTGTTTGTACAGTTATAATTCTGAGATAGGAAAAACTGAGAGGTACATAAAACTACCCAGTTCACACATTTTTCTGTACGAATTTTGGATCCTCTTTTCATCAAACTGAAAGCCAAAAGAAATTAAACTATAAAACACCTAGTACATTCCTTAAAAGTTTGGCAAGTGTTTTTGACTGTCCTTTCATTGAATGTTTTGCTTACGTCAGTCGCAATGGTCAGCATACACATCTCTTATTTGTCATTAAATGCGTGGGGGGGGATTAGTGTGGGGGCGGGGGTGGATTTTAATGGGAAATGGAAGGGTTGATGCTTTAGATGGGGTAAGCTGCATGACTAATTCCCCTCTGTTTATAAGAAAGGGGTATTGATTTGAGCTTTGAGTACAAACTATTGATCGCCAATTGGAGTGTTGGGCCTGATGTATGTGAATGTAATTGTTTTCAATTTAATGAACGTCGATGAGACGTTAATATAATTTAGCATTTTATTAAACCACACTATCGATAGGCTGTATTTAAAAACACAGAACGACTGGTCATTACACAATTGTGAGGTATATACGATATACGATACCAAGAATGGTGAAACATTTAAATAACGTATATACCATTTTACAGTTATGTACTTTTCAAAAGTTACAAACCGTTACGTGAAATATATCATTTTTGTTCATTCCCATTGTACATAGATGCAACCTGACAATAAGGGACACTGCATTGTAGCTTAATTAATAGTCTCTTTGCTACCATTCAATAAAGTTAATAGTTGCCTAATGTATTTCAATGGCTTCTTGCAGTAACGATATATATCAGTTCATGGTTTACTCGGATGATTTATTATTTATAGTTTATGATATTTTGCATTATATTTTAATTAAAACATTGATCAAGCTATGGCGGAAAGAGGAATGGTGCATTTAATTGATCCTTAAACGATGGATGTATCCAAAACTTTAAAGAATTACAATATACGCCTGATGTACCATTCAAAGCTAGTCTATCAAAAGCAAAAGTTATTCCAAATTCAAGTTATTTTGATATATGAAAAGTAATAAACTTATAGGAAGTATACTGTTTTAATCCGGGATTTTTATTGGGCTATTTTTCTTTGACGAAAAAAATATTGTTTGAGTATTTTAAACGAACGTCGATTTAATGATGATCATCCTTCCTAACTACTCCAAATATCATGCAGAAATTACACAACACACTTTGTATATGCGGTATTTCCACAATATATTAAAACAAAATTGTTACAGTACACTATGGAATTGTTCCCTTTATGAGTATAACTCCACGTGTGCGTTTTAAACAAAACAACACACTGTTACAAAGTATTACCATAGATGAAGTAATATAAATGGTGTTTATTTATTAATATAGTGTTTATTTATTCTATGGTATTACTCTAGTTGTAGATAATTGTTGTGTTAAATATACACAACAGTGTTGTATGTATATTGTGTTGTTATAAGTAGTCGACTGCAGTGTGTCGAATTAGTAGTTTTTTTTTTATTTGAAAACTCATAATTTCAAGCCGAAAAAATCCAACGTATCTGTCTACATCCATTATTAAACTAACTCGATTTTTCATTGTTCCATATATCATAAGATTATATCAAAAAGAATTTTCTGAAACAGAGTAATCTAAAGTGTTACAATTATTGTGTTAAAGTATAATATTTTTTAAATCGTCCTAGTTAAATTGCAAAGACAGTCGAAGAAAACAATTGTTTGCAATTGAAACATGTTTATATTTTCTAGGTTCTGTATTTAAATGTATCACTAAAACCTGTTACATTTATAGAGTTTAATTGAAAAAAAACCTTTAAACTCATCTTACTACAAGACTTCA